AGATATTTATTTATAAAAGTCATCAATATAAATCAGTCAGTGACATTTATTTTTAAATCATACTTATAAAAGTCATTTGTATAAGTCGTAGTAAACTTTTGCTCTCCAAAACCTTCTTTTGCATAAAAATTATAAATAAAAATTTATTTTCAAATTTGATTCTCAGTGAAAACAAAAAATCGATTGTTATGTATCACTTAGTTGTAGAACATATAGTGAATTTCTCAATGAGAGAAATCAAATTGATTCGTAAGATATACGTGATTAAAAGGAACCAATTTTGGCTTTAAGCTGAATAACGGTAAATTAAAAATATCTCGAAAACGTACCCAAAAAAAAAATAACTCGATTTTTGATTTCACCGAGAAATTCTACATAGGAATCGGATAGTGGCATCTATATAACATTTTTGATGTAAACCAGTGGAATTAAAATTTCCGAATAAAAGTTCATTTTTAAGTGTTTTTTTTTAGTTTTTTTCCCACTTTCGAGGATCCACAGAGCTGATTGAAATTACTTGTTGGTTCATAATTGGTTGTCCAAGTTTTGTCACCTGTTACAATGCGATTAAACTGTCTGAAGACGGTGTGCTTGAGCAGTTAAGTAAAAAGAAATACATACACTAGAGTGGTTAAAAAAATACTCTTTGTTTGAAATTCATAAAAGCTACATCAAAATATTGTTATTAGTGAAAAAAAGAAACGTATTTTTTTGTTAAATAAAATATTTTTTAAGAGGGCGCGCTGGGCGGTTTTTTATAAAAACGCTCATGTTCTAAGTTTTTTTTTTATTTTCGTGACATGTTAAAGTGCTGCGAAATTAGTTGTTTTTGAATGTAATTACCCAGGTATTATTGGGAAATATTCCCTTAATAACATACCTTTCCTAGATAGTTAGAATCGGCCTAGTGCCCGAAAATGTGCTTTCGCAAAGAGACTACTAAAATTAAAACGTCGATACTGAACGATTTACGCGGATCCAAAATGGCGATTAATTAAAAAAACAAGTGATTGGATTTGTTCGAAACCCAGCACTTGGGAGTTTTTATGGTCGCTGATTACGAACCTGAAGTCAAACTATAATTTTTTGACTCAAAATTGCAGATCCAATATGGCGATCAAATTCTTCTGAACGTTTTAAGCATTGTCAAGGGTTTAATCTCGTTGCCAGTGGGTTTCTGGGGTTGAAATTTGATGTCAGATTCTTAAAAATTATCCGCCATTTTAAATTTTACAAATTTACTTCAGATTCTTAACCAGCGATCCCGAGTGCCGAGTTTCGAACAAATCCAATAATAAAAAATTTAAAAAAAAATTTATCGCCATTTTGGATCCACCATTTTGAATTTTGAAAAACTAACTTCGGATTCCTAATTACCAACCCCAGAAACTCCGTGGTAAAAAGTTCCAACCAATGACAATGCGTAAATAGTTTGGTATCAATGTTTTAATTTTAGTAGCCTCTTTTCGAAAGCATATTTTCGGGAACTAGTTAGGCTCATTCTAACTGTCGTAGTTAAGGGAATGTTCTCCAATAATAGCAGTATTAGTATTAGCATTTTAACATGTCACGAAAATAAACAAAAAAATTAAGAACATCGGCGTTTTTATTAAAAACCGACCACCGCGAACTTTAACAAAACTTTTTTTTTCAAAATACGTTTCTCTTTTTTATCACAAATAACAATAATTTGAGGCAGCGTTTATGAATTTTCAAAAAAAAAATTACTAACTCTAATCTACATATGCATATACATATTAAATACCTAGATACATATAAATATGTATATATAACATAAAATTACAATTTCTTTAAAGACTTTAAAATTAGCTTCATTCATAAAAGGAGAGGCGTTATCAATATTTCCACTCAAACTTAATTAAAAGTAATTAACCGCCGAGATGGCATATCAAGAGTATATTTGCATTTAACAGAGCTAAAAATCGTAATTTTTCTAAAAATGCCTTCCTTCACAAACAACAGTAAGGTACAAACAAAACACTAAAAAAAAGTACTATATCATATTTGGGCGTGCTATAGGTGATTTTGACACACAAAGTTTTATAAGGGTTTTATAATGGTTTACTTGAGCAAAACTAAAAATCAAGCTATACCATTTTGCTCTATAAATAGTCAATAAAACCCTTATAAGACCAAAAGGGACCCAGAAGGGCTTCATATTTAGTGCAAAATGTTGCTCTTTTATTAGTTTACAAATTGTTTGTTGGTAGTTTTATAAGGATCTTATAGTAGTTCACAACATGAGTTTATAAAACTTTTATGTAATGAAGTGACCAAGTAAATAATAATCTAAATATTTTGTCTAACTTTTTCGGCATTTCTCCTGAACATAATTTTATGAACGCAACGAATGTTACAGTAAATTCGGGACCGCTACCCAGCCAAAATTTACATGAATGCAAAATACTTTTTACTTTATTAAAAAATCGTATTTTTGAAAAAAAAACTCATTTAAACACCTAAATCATAAACGATTTGTGAAAATGTGACATTCAATATAATGAATCACAATGAAAACAATATAGCGTCACAGCCAAAAGTCTATACAAAGGCACTTATAAAATCAATTTGTATTCTAAAATCCAAAATAGTCTAAGTGAAGAGCGTTGCATAGATTATTTCCACTTTGAACAGAGGAAAATCATACAAAATACTCAAATGCTAAATGTCCAAATGCCAAAATTTCTACGTGAAGAGCATTGAATAAAGTATTTCCTCCTTGAATAGAGAAAGGTCACACGAAATGCTCAAATCATAAATTTTCGTATCTAAAAATAGTCTAGCTGAAGAGCTTTAAATAGTGTAGTCCCTCTGCATAAAAAGTGTTCACGATCTTTTTGAAGAGGAATCCAACTTCGCAAAGAGGAAGGACAATTAGTCTACACAGAAAAATTTATAATGGTGTAAGTTCAAACATAATTTTTTTTTTTATAATAGTGTTATTGAGCTTTGCTCCACGATTTTGCTTTTGAGGAAGACTGTCAACAAAGTCCAAGCCGTAGAAGCTATAGCTGCGATATCGAAGATTACCACATCTTCTCAGCAGATTTCTTTTTCTAGCCTTCAGCAGGGATCGAACCCGCATCACTGAAGAGCATTAATTATCTTAATGAAGACAAATCCTACATCGAACGAAAATGCGCAATTTCTCAAAAAATTCAAATTTATGGAACTATATAAATTTGCTTTTTGTTGACTAATGGCTCAACAAAAAGCTATTGACTAATCGCTCTGAATGAAGATAACATATAGAGATCTAAAAGCATAAATTTGTAGTGCACCTGCACTCATCATGAAATGGAAGAGAAAACAGTATAAAAGAAGAGAATTATAAAAATATGCCTACATGCAGAGCCATATAAAACTCTTTTAGAATATATCGTCACTAGACGCGAGCTCAAAAGTTGACCGCGAAAAAAGATGATAAAAAAACTTCAAGAGAGAAAAGAAAAGAAGAAAGATTCTTAACGTAATTGACGGCGGATAAAGACGCGTAACTTAGTTTCGCGGTCGACACTGTTTGCGGGTGTAACAGTATGTAAATTCCCCAGAGAGATTTTGGGGAAGAATGCTGAAGCGACAATCCTTGGACAGATATAAATCTGTGTTCACGCCTCTTTCTTCGCCGAAGTTTTTGTACGCGTCTTTTTACGTCATATTCTTTTCACGCGTCCCTTTTCGCGATCAAAACATTAGCGCGTCTTTATCCGTGGCTAATGACGATATGTTCTTTATTAAGACCAATAGTTCCTCACATTTAGAGTTTGTGTTATCCGGGATATAGCACATTTGCTGCAAAAGTGTCATAATCCAAAAAAAAAATCAAAAAAATAGGCAACGGGTGGTGGTAATTTCATCATACTTAACTAAATTTTTGTTTTATTTTTTATTGTAACTCTCTTTTAGCAAATGTGTAAAATAGTTATTATCCTTTTCAAAATCAGAATACAAGTTTAGTTGCTTACGACCTGCAAAGTCATCCTCCAACTTCAAAATTTGAATAGATTATTTGCATATGAATTTATTTACTTACATATGTATGTATGTCCAAATAAGTAATGTCTCTGTTTAACTTGTGTTGGAAATTCTCTACTCATCAATGCCAAACAAAAATCTGCTGCTAAATGCTTAATTAACATTAATCAATTACCAGCCGCTGGCGATGAAATGGTGCCACCTTTTCCAATGTCAACAGAAATAACTAAGGTATTTACATACTTACTTTTGTACATATGTTTGCACTTATATGTATTTTATAGGTAACCTCAGCATTAAGTTCGCGCTCAAGCAGGCTTAGGGAACATGTGCGCGATGACCCAGCCGATGTTGTCATACAAATAAAGCCATTAAAAATGTTGCATATATGTAGAGCAGCGCCGGCGCCAGCAGCGACGCAGTGGCAGCGATGAAATATCACCATGCTCATAAACAATGTAGCAACGTCTTATAGATCTCATATGTCCACCGCTTCCCTTACTCCTTTCCGCCAGCATATCGCAATAAATGTTGCCACAACAACAATGTCAAAATTGCAAAAGCAGCCAGAGCAGAAGCTTAACTGCAAGAAAAACAGTCTCCGCATAATTCACCACACCACCGAGGTGAATAATACCATATGCTAATATTGCTGTTGAGCGTCTGCAGAATTGCGTACAAACTGAGAGCGTATGGCCACGCTTGAGCGCTTGACAAACGGTCAGCGCCAGCGGTGCGTAAGCTAAGCAAGCCGCTTGGCACTACTACCTCGGCCAGCGGCAATACCGGCACAGCAGACAATAGAACGCACGCGTAAGTTGCCCATAAGAAATTGAAACGACGTCAAAGTCAGCAATCGTCGCCGAGAGCAGCGCCAAAACTGTAGCTTGCGGCTGCGCACAACTCTTCGTTGTCGGCGGCGCTATGCTGGGGCTGACGGCTTTCTGCTGCGACTTGGCGCATTTTCTTTGCCGTCGTGCGTTTGTTTGGCGTATTTAATGGAAACTTGATCTTAGAATCGGCACAGTATTCCGGGCAACTCAGCAGTGTGCAAATCAGTGGTGCCGTCGAAATACTAAAAGTGCGAATATTTTCTAAATTTAAATAAAAATAATTCATACAAAATTATAAATATATAGATATTTACATACTGTGTAAATGCAAATTTTATTTAAAAAAAAACGTTCCTTTTATTTTTAGAAGCTCTTAAAAAATTCACAAAAGGCTATCCTTACAACATAAAAGTGCAATTTTGGTGTGAATCTGCATTGAAAAAATTTACGAAATATAATCGAGATGGCAAGCCTGAAGTGTATAATTGTGTTAACGATTGTGTTATGCGCGAGCTCAGCATTAGCCCGACCAGGATATGCACTGGATTATTATGTGAGTGTTGTGTGGCTATAAGTGGGCCTAAATTTATGAAATAATGTTGAGTGTACGCAGTGGCATAGCGTATATGACAAGGACATACAATTAAAAAAAAAAATATAGTAATAAATAATATATGCCTTAATTGAATTTATATATCCAACTGAGGTTAAGAAGTTAAATCGTGCCAGTACAGAGCTGAGAAAAATTAATTAAAAATCAGCCTTCCTTTGGTTTATAATATATCAAAATTTGTATGAATATGAAAATATCCTTTTGACACTAATAAAAATCTCTGAAGCCAATTTAACAAGTAAATTAAAATTCGTTCAGTAAATCTTTAAATAGAATGTATTCAAGTATTGAAATTCGGCATAAAATATTTTTATATAATTTTTTGATTATAGAAATTGAAATTTTTTTTTTTATTTATTCAACAAACCTGTTATCTACTTTTTTCGTCCTTTACCAAGGCATTTATTAAAAATAACTGAAAGAATTCGCAGCTGATTTCATTCAAATTTTTATAGTTTAAAAACTGTTTTCAGATTTTCAAGACTTTTTTAGTTTAAGGAAGCTACTTAGTATAAATAAAAGTTGTATAACTTTTTTTAGTTGTTAAACGTTTTGGATTTGAAACAGAAAAAATGCGCAGCTAATTTCATTAAAATTTTGACATTGTAGAAAAAGTTTCCAGATTTTCAAGATCTATGAGTTTTTTTTTTTTGAGTTTAAGGAAGCACCTTAGTGTACAAATTGAATCAATTTTTTTGTTTAATCTTAGGCCAAACTAAGACGTTTTGGGTTTAAAATAAAGAAGCAAAAATTTTGTTATAATCAAAACTTTGAATAGCCCAAGGTATAAGAATAAATATTTCATAACGCAAAATTCTTCTTCTTCTTAATAGAACCATCCCAAATACGCCTTCAACTATGGTGTAGCCGATCACACAACTGGCGATGTAAAGTCACAACATGAAACACGCGATGGCGACGTTGTAAAAGGTATGAACGTTAGCATTTGAATATCACGATTTTGCGATATTATTTTTCAACATGTTTTTTTTTTGTGAATAGTTTAGAAAGTTTAAAGTCCTAATCTAACACTTTTTTGTTCAAAATCCTCTTTTTCCATAGGTCAATATTCGCTCGTCGAACCCGATGGCTCTATTCGTACTGTGGACTACACTGCCGATTCGATAAATGGTTTCAACGCAGTGGTAACTAAATCTGGGCCCACAGTACATGCGCAAGCGCTCGTTCCCGCACCACATTACGAACCGGCTCCAGTGGTGAAACATGTAGCGCCTGCGCCCATAGGGCCCGCACCAGCGCCGTACGGTAAGTGTCCATACTTACATATACATATATTTGTTTAAAATACACATGAAACTTTTTGCAAAGCAATACCTTTTTTACATTTTTTGCATCCCAAAAATAGATATAGCTCCTCTATATGGCCCCTGTATATTTTTTCTTGTTGACTTTCTGAACCATTGGCAACCGCGAATTTGACACTCTCCCTATTGCATTTAAATTAATTGCTCTTTCGCATTTCCTTATATGTAGCAATGCATTTCATCAATTCACTGAATATATATGTATGTACATATGTACCTCTAATTTTCCAGTATTGTATACAAAATTTCAAAGCAAGTCACAATACGTTGGCTTTCTTCTTCCTCTCTTGCACTAACTCTTCTCAAACAAATTCGCATCTTAGAGTTGTGGTTGCGTTCTGTTGTTTGCAAAACTTATGTATTGTATATCATAGTAACAATGACAACAATAACATAGCATTATAACGACAACATCATCGCTCTCATCATTTTCCCTGCACAGGCATTGACACATATCGCATGGTGAAGTTATTGCGCGGCCACGCCCACATCAACAATAATCAAGTGCTCAAATTTCGCCCAGACGATGGTTATGCAGACTATGATGATGATTACGATGCTCATAATTATTATTACTAATTTGGAATGAGTACAAATGCACTGAGCAAACACCTACAACAAAGTAAATCACATAAAATGAAATATACTTACTCGTACATATTCGTATATAGACTTACATACGGATACATACATACAAGTATAGTATAGAAAATCCAATGATTAGGCATAAATACAGCAGCATCTATGTACATACGTCCATTGTAAAATGTAAAATCTAATTAAATAGATGCATACTTTTACCTCCGACATCTTATTTAATGAGTTAGATTTTTGCATTACTCACACAGTTTCCCACAATGCATTCATAATTGCATAGAATACTACTTACTAAAGCAATTATAATAATTAGTCAGTCAGTCAGGTGCAATATGCAAAGATTTAATCCATATTATGGCATGATATTTATGTCTGCGGTTTAGCATCAGAATATTCTATATTGCTTTTTGAAGTGCATTGTTCGAAGCGAATTGCATTCATAAAAAAATAAGTGTACATACAGACACATATATGTACATTTGAATTCAATTATTGGTACCTTTGCATTTGCTTCATTGACTATTCTCATTGAACTAGACACCGGATGTGCGCAATAATTAATTTTACTGTCGTTCAGTATTCTGACTCAAGCAACAGAAGAACGAGAAAAATGGTTGTGTCTTAGCCTTAAAAAAATTCAATTTAGTTTGTTTCCTTGATCAAAAAGGCAATATTTTGTTTTCTTTTTATTACTTACAACTGATTTCATCTGAGTCTTTCCACGTCCAATTTTAATTTTTCTAAGATGTTTTGCTTTGAACTTTTTAAAAATAACAATTTAAATATACTTTGCCTTAAATACTTACACCAATATTTTCAAAAGAAAGTTTACTTATACCTTTTGAAATAGATTGTAGTTAGGCCTTTTTCACAGCGAAAAGTTAATTCACATGCAGCAGCTATTTGTTTTCCGAGCAAGGTAAAAGTTAACTGCCAGAATATGACCTTCAATTTAACAAATAAACTGCTGATTTTGTTGTTAATGCAAATAAATATGTACATATATTTATAACTTTCAAGAATCAGAAAGCAAATAATTTTTTTCTCCTGGCCAGTGAAGTTTCAAACTTGACTTCAAATCAATAAATTCGCATGGGATCCAGGTTTCGCCAAATTGATAAAGCACATATAAGTACATTTTTTTATTTATTTTTTTTTTGAATTTTCATTTTTCGTACAAAATACTTATACTGTACCTACATATTTTTATAAAATATTTTAATATCTATACTAGGAAAATATTTTATATCTTTGCAACGAAATGCCTGTAGGTCTTTTTGGTCACCGCAGATCTCAGCCGACTAATAATATTGTTTTGCCACTGGAAAGAACTTCGATTTTAACGGATTTTTCCCCAATATTGATGGTTCTACTTCTTCTTGATTGGCGCTGTATTTGGCTAGAAAACTCAGGCCAAGTTCAATAAAGTACGACAATCGTTTCTCAACCTGTTCCATCGCAGAGTAGGTCTTCCGCAAATTTTAGTTTTATGGCGAGGCCTTACCGCGAAAATAAAGTGGACGACATTCTTTTTTAACGAATAAAATTTTAAACCATCTTAAATGCATCTATCTCACATCAAAAAGAAAGTTCTGAAAAAAATTTCGCTTAAGTTGTTTTCGGGATGAGAGCTCGATATTTTTCAGCATTCATAAAAACCAAAGCTACATAAGATAAACATACATAGTTGCATGCAAAGTGCATTTAACAAAATATGATTGAATTTGACAGTGCTTTCATAATACAAATACTATAATGTCAAATTGAAATAATTTTTTTTTTGCATTTTGAATCGTTTGTTTATATTTTTTGATATTATCGTATTATAAAAGAGAGCCGCATTGAGTTCTTAATCACAATTTGGTTGTATATACTTTTAAAATTAAAAGTTTTCAAAAAATTCCGAACGGTCCCGAAGAGGTTTGGAAAAGTCCAAAAATAAGTCACCAAGTATCCCAAAATGTTTAAAATTCTTGAAAAATAAGTCAACAAAAATCCCGAAAGAACCGGAAAAAGTTACGAGAAGTTACTGTAAATCTGCCTCGAGAAAAACCAGAAAAATCAGGAAAAGTAAGCGGTTTTTTCTGTTCAAGAAATAACGGGCAAATTTTGCTTTTAATAGTGGCAAAGCAAAAAATTACGAAAATCGAGTTTTTAAAATCATGGGGTTATATACTAAAGTTAGACAATTCGAAAAAAACGTTATGAAATTTCTTTCTTTCCTATTTCGAAATCTAAAAATAAATTTTATTTAATGTCGCACATAACTATCTTAGCTGGTTTTCTTTTTGAATAGAGTGAGGCACTTTTCGTTCGACTCGTTTTTTGTTTTTGGGCGAAAAAGAGGGCATTAAACCTTAGCCGTGAAAGGCTTCTTATGAAAAATCATCTACCATGCGAAGGCGGCTTAAAACAATTGGTCCCTCTAATATTAGGGCACACTCCAAAAATCCCTGACGAAGCTCGGCAAAATATTTAGTGGAAGCGCCAAATATTTTTTTATAGCAGAAAACTTTACTTACACTTTACTTTTGAGCCACCGCTAGGCTATATAGTTTCCAATAGAATATAGTCGACCTTAAAATATCTTCAAGTCAAACGCAGGTGGTTTGGTGGTTATTGGGAATAAAGACATTTAACTTCAAAATAATTAGAGGTAAGCTGTGCTTTTGCCTGAGCCCTTTGTTCTCAAACATGGAAGTCACTTATATAAGGGGCTGTCTACAGTTTTCAATAAATACTTTTTAACCGACTTCAAAAAATGGGGGAGGTTATAAAATTCGCGAAATATTTTTTGCTTAAAAATTACTTGCCATTGCAATTATACGAGTATCTTTTTTTTCTTGCAAGCTGCACACTGATTTAAGAAACTTAATAGAATAAAATTTCTTTTTCATTAGTTCCGCGTCATTTTAAGCATATGATTTTTTCCTTTTTCTTGAGAGCTGCAGACAGCTCTTAAGGCAGTACAATTTTGCCAGTAGATTTATTTCGTTAGAGAAAAATTTTGATAAATTGATTTTAGGGGATGAACTTCAAGTATAATGTTCTTATAGGCTTTATGTCGTAGCTCGTGAAAAAAAAAATAATAATTTACAAATTTATTATCACTACCTTGTGTCTTTTGTGTTCAAATATATCCAAGTGCCGCTGGATATGTCAAGCAGGGTCAAAATTCAGAAAAAACGGTTCTTTTACGAAGGTATTGTTAACAGCCACTTTAACAAAAACAAAGGTGGTTCTGTTCATAGGGAATATTAATAGTCGAAATAAAGTCGATCCTAAAGTTAGTTGCAGTTTTGTTAGTTAGTAGTTTGTAGCTTACGGCATCCCCTAAAATAAATATTGAAACGTATTCTTGCTTTCGTACGAATCAAAAATATTAAATTTTTTTATAGAAAATGATAGAAAAATTTCATTTGATGATTTTCGTTTCCGATAACAAGAATACGCCCCATTAAGTCACTTTTTTCGTAGCACTGCACTATTTACTTCTATATAGTTCTTACGGGAAATACTCTAATTTCCTTAAATCGTAAAATAATTTCAGTAATCCTTATTTACTCAAGTCAAAGCAAATTATTTAAATTCGCTCTACCCAAACTAATGTATGAGTCTGTATGAAAAGTTAATGTAATCGCTAATGTAATTACATTTATACGCCTCAATGCATTCTCTCTTCTCAAATCTTTCAGCCAAGTTGCTTTAACTTTTTATTAAAATTCAATTTAAATTTTCATTCAATACCGATTTTACTCACCTCTTTCAATCCGCTGAAGAAAATTATATTTTCTGGTTTTCTTTGCAAAGTGATTTCATTGATGGAAATATTCTTAGATATTGCCGAGTGCATTGTCGGTACGGTCAGTAAAGTAAAAAGTGCATACTGAAGCTGCCAGTTAGCAAATTACTACACAACGCGCTATTCGCCTACTACACTGTCCGTTGACTTAGCAGTCAGGTGTGCATACATATATATAAACATATTTACTTATCTACGTATCAGCCATATACCCTTATTACTTCATACTACATAATCTTTTTGTTTCCATCAACTCGTAACATTTTAGTTCCCATATTAGCATAAAAATAAAACAGAAACCATCTATAATTAGCAACAAGTAGCAATTCGCAAAGGTACTAAATAATGGACGCGTAACTACGAAATAAAGAACATAAAAAATTGTGCCAACCTAAGTTGCTGCAGAGCTATGAGAAACGAAAATATATATATTTTTTTTTTGTACACAAACAAAATCTTTTCACACAACCCATATACCAAGTGGCAGAACAATAAAAGACATCTGGCACATTTATTCTTTGGCTTTAAAATTTACATAATAC